AATTCTGATTAACATGAGACATCTCTCAGCTCTACACGATCTTTCTTTGGAGAGTTATGGAATTTATACGAAAAGCTCTAAATTCATCTTTCCTTCTTCTTTCTGTAGCTCTAAGATGACAATAAACATTCAGAGCTTTTCGTGTAAATTCTATAACTCTACAAAGAAAGATCATGTAGAGCTGAGAGATGTCTCATTTTAATCAGAATTTCGCGGGCTACAGTTGTGAATTATTCAGAAAAATTCTTGGGAATTTTTCGAGGTTTCTGGAAAACTGGTTTTCCAGAAACCGGTTAGGAAAGGCCTATGGGCCCAAATGAATATCATATTCGGAATCAGCATAATCGATTACCTATAAGCTACCGCATTTCGTTAGAAAAGCGATTTGACAGTTGGATATGTTCCCTCGTTAGATGGATCAGATGAAGGAGGTTATAGAAATTTACCGTTAATGACACTGGAAATGGCTGTTAAAGACCTAAAACCTATGATTGGCACATTACAAAGAGATGTTTGGATAGCGAAACAAAACTGGCAACATCTTTCCGACCATTTAACACAAGATGAATCTGCTGCTATTCACTTATATACAATGGGAAGTGTTTTTGAACATCTTAGTGACATGTTACGTTCCAAAAACAGGACAGAATTACTAGCCCCTTGGCTGCCTTATTTAAAATTGCTTCTAACGGCATTATGCAAACTACCAGCGGTTAAAAAGATAGTTTGGCGTGGGACCAGCTTGGATTTAAGTACAAAGTATAAAACAGATGATAGATGTGCTTGGTGGGGTTCCAGTAGCTGTACAGAAACACTTCCAGTAGCCGAATTTTACCTTGGTGAATCTAGTTTTAGAACATTGTTCTGTATCGAATGCGGAAATTGTTGACTAATAAGGTCACATTCACAGTTTAAACATGAAAATGACATTTTGTTACTGCCGCGGTTTTATTTTCAGATGGTAGATAAGACAGTTTGTGATGATTTCCTGTTCCCCCCCAACCGCCCCATCCACTTCTAGAATCACCGTTTTCGCTGACAAAATCATCAGATGGCCAAACAAATAGCAGTCTGAATATTGATGGGTATATCTCAATGAAGCAGAGCACCACATACGGAACTGATGGTGAGGGATGTCCTATCTTTTACGTAGTTAGTTGTTCGGAGAAATAAGATTGTTGAATCAGCAGACCAGAGTTGCACAAAACACAAAAGCTGCTTTGCGGTTATCCTGAATGTTGCTGTAGTGTTTGTTAAAAAGAAAAACAATCCGTACAGCCACTGTCAACAAAACGAGCCATTCTAGGCTACAGACGTAATGAAATAAAAAAGTCATAATTCACCAAAAATTAGACCAAATTACTTGAACTTTTCAGAACATCATTGAGCTTATGCCTTCTAGATATCGACAGTAGAAAAATTCTTCAAGTACTTTGACCTCATAAAATGATTTTTCAATACGTTGTTTTAGCGATTTTATCATCACTAGAATTGAAAACACAATGTATTCTAAAAATTCCAAGTGATTTGGTCTGATACTAAGACAATCATGAAATTTGTTGCCTAAAATGTGTTGGTTTGTCGAAAGCGACTGCACTGTAAAAAATAGTCGTAGGTTAATAAACTATCAAAAAGGGTTTATTGACACTAATACACCTTTTAATAAACGCTTTTCCGGTTTTTATATCCAAAAAACTAAAAAGCGTTCGTGACAGATACAAAACTTTTTAGTTTTTTGGATATAAAAACCGGAAAAGCGTTTATTAAAAGGTGTATTAGTGTCAATAAACCCTTTTTGATAGTTTATTAATCTACGACTATTTTTTACAGTGTGTGCATGCTGTTCTTTCACTTCTCTTTCAAACGAACACTACAACAAGATTCAAATCATGAATACTGGTGGCAAAGAGAAATTGATTGTTTGTATCCGTAGTCTCAATATTTATTTCCTGTAATGGACAT